GAACTATGCCACGAGTAACCCGTCCTATGCCATGCTCAAAAGCCACGCCCACTCCGTTTCAGGGATAAGGGGTGTATATATGGTAGGATAGTAGGATGATAAACGCTCCAGACAACTTTTGAAGAATGCTAGATGCTGATACATAGAGCCAGGTCCAGGTCACGTTATACGCTAAGAATTCATTAGTGAGAGTGGGAGGCCCAGGTAAGGCAGGAAGGACTCACTCGTAACGAAACCGCGAACCCCCTGGTCTCACTATATCTGACATCTTGATAAACGAGATGTCTGTTTTCCCCTGCTCGATGTAAATTCGAGGAGATGGAGGGTAGTGCGGAAAAAGTTCGTCAAATGCTGAGCGATTCAATAACAATTGACATTACAGGACGAATTTCTGGCTTCGACGGCTCACATCAAACATGTATTTGTGTACATTGTCGATATGCAGCTGCGTATTTTTGTTCACGGTAAGAACGTTGATTCACTCCGCTCTTTAAAAGTTATGTTTTGATTGGCATTATACTAAAGCAAATACTTGATAGACTTATCCAAAGCCATAACCCTGAATGAGTGGCATAGACTTCTAGTCGGTCCATGCTGCGGATCCCGCGACTGGTCCAATAGATACACATAGAAATATGTTAAGATTCGACTATTTAATCACACAAATCATCACGAATGAGTATCACCATATCAGTATCAGAGAAGTAGAAATCGCGGTATATCAACCAATCAGAGTATGCTACAAGGTTACCCTGTGCCTCTGTCTCCTGAAACGCAAGATCCATCTACCACTAGGGCCTATTCCAAAAGTGACGCCTGCTGCATGCACCTTGTCCTGTTGTTTTCCCTATCGCCCATTAGGCTCCGAGCAAAGCGAAGAAGCGGAAACATAACACCGACATAGTGCTGCCAGTTGGTTGGCCCGTCTGACATATGCATACACGGGAAACTCCATAGACTTCCACCCAACAGGATATCTTCTCGGACCTTAAACCCCTGCCTTTTTTTGACTGATTGCGGCTTATCTCTCCTTACCAGGGAGCGCATCTGACTCTCGATGTATCTGGATGATTTTCCCGCTTGAGGCGCGCGACATTCTCCCCATCCCCTCCCCCGACCCCCCTCCCCGACCCAGGGCACATCGCTTGTTGAGGGAATCCCCAATAGGGGGGGGTCGTATTTGGCCGCCAGGAGAGGGGGGTCGTATTTGGGCTGGGAAAAACATTATACAG